AATTGCATCACTCTTGATCACAGGTAAAGGCTCTTAATGGATTTACAATTACAATCACCACATATGGTTCTACCTCCCACAGCACAAACAAAAAGGCTTACTAACATAAGTTAACTGTCTGTTTTGGGACCTGTGATCCTGGTTCCATGTGACAAAAAAAGGGGTAGAACTGTAGTATTTGAATAGACCTTGAAGAGTGCATTTCTGAAGTAATGTTCATCAAGGTAGGAAAACCCATGCCCCAAATTTAACAAATTTGGAACCAGAGTTGAATAAGGCAAATTTCCTTGAGATGGTGCAGACACATGACTATGACCCCCTCTGATCACTCTACGGGTCTGTTTTTATACTTAACTGATTAATGTGGAAATAGCAATTGCAGCCCAGGCATCTCCCCCCCCCCCCAAATCCTGTACGAGGGAAGCATCCATGCTTATCTTCAGTGAGAAAGAGATCACAGCGGCTAGAATTTTGATTGCTAAATATTGGAAGCAAGAAACATTGCCGAAAAGAAAGGAAATAGTTGAAAAATTAATGGAAGTCGCAGAAATGGACAAATTAACACTTATCTTGCATAGGAAAGATGATAAGGTGTTTAAAGAAAGATGGGCAGAATTTTACAAATGGTTAAAGTATTAAAATTGTGTACTTGACTTACATAGATGACATGTTAAAATACCAATGTAATGGTTGTATACTTGTGAAAATATAAATAAATCTGTTAAAAAAAAAGAAAAAAAAAGAAAGAGATCAGTGACTCAGGTTCTTTTCTTTTTTTAAAATCCTTTGTACCTGCAAAGCGTCCTTTGATATGCTGCGAGCACAGCATGGGCCAGTTCTGCTTCTAGAACCAGATCCAGAGACCTGTACCACCTCAACCAGTGGAGGAAAGTATAATGAAGTCACACACTAGATGGGGATCATTTAATGATGCTAACTGCTATCGGCCCTGACCTGGATGGCCCAGGCTAGCCTGATTTTGTCCGCTCTCAGAAGCTAGACAGGGTCTGCCCCTTGGCAGCATTTGGATGGGAGACAACCAAGGAAGTCCAGGGTCGCTACAGAGAGGCAGCCGATGGCAAGCCACCTCTGAACGACTTTTGCCTTGAAACCCCTACAGGGTTGCCATAAGTAGACTGCAACTCAAGGGCACTTTCCACCACCACCAACTGCCAGTGTGGAAGCCCAATGTGTGAACTGGGCTAGTGCACGGCACAGCATAGTGGAACCCCATATGGGCAAGGAGGACTTTCTATTGCCAGCTATGTCAGGTACACTATACAGTAAGAGGGTTGTTAATGGGTCCATGGGGAATTGGAGTTGCCAGTCAACCAAATATGCCCGTTAACAAAACGTTTACTGTATACATGCATACACTTTTTATATTGTTATGACAAACAAACAGAGATGAGTCCTGCTGGATCAGGCCCAATCACCATTTGGGAATCGGTTTCCTATAGAGGACAGGCAGATGCCTCTGAGAGGCTCACAGAAAGCAACAGCCTTTCTCCAGCATTTTTCTCTGGTATTTAGAGATTCACAGTCTTTGAACATGGAAGCTACATTCAGCCATCATAGCTAATAGCAACTGATAGACCAACCCATGAAATTTGTCCACCCTCCCTTTAAAACCATCTAAGAAAGCAGCCATCACTACATCTTGTAGTCATATTTATTTACTTCATTTATGCTCCCTGGTGATCCAAAGGGGCTTACGCAATTCTCCTCCCCTCCATTTCATCCTGTGAGGCACGAGACTGTGTGATTGGCCCAAGGTCACCTACACAACTTGCATGGTAGAGTGAAGATTCGAACCTGGGTCTCCCAGATCCCAGTGTGACACTAAGGGGAAAGGATGATCCTAACACACCGAATGACATAACAGAAACTCAAAGGAGCAGAGAATGAAGCTAGACTTAAGGAGGAATACTTAAGTGGGAAAACCTCCCGATTCATTAGCAGACATTATGCTAATATGTCTTATTAATGAATAATAAATTATATATTTATTTTTTTTGTTTAGACAAAAGTGCCAGTACTCATATATAAGGTTGCACTGATTTCTACCATTTCCCCCTTTAGGACTTGGGAGAGCCCCCACCCAAAGAAAGATGCTAGTACTCAGTACTGGTGAATACTGCCCCCAAAAAGCCCTGATTATACATATATTAGATTATACATATATTAATCTTAACTGACACATACCTGTCACAACTCTCAGTAACTCCTCAGATGACAGGGTGTTTTCCCTCCTATCAGAAAAAAGTGTTAACTTTTAAAAAAACTGTGTATCACTGTATGAGTAAAGGACAAATACCCAGAGCTGCTTAGTGTTGGACTTCATGTGGGTCTGCACTGTGCAATGCAGTGCCATACCCATGTGGGATTTGAGCAGTCATTTTTTGCACAGAAAGACCCTTGAGCATGTAAAGTCTTCCTTACTCATGTTAACCAAAGCAGCTACACAAGTGTAAAGGGATTTCTACATGGACCTCCCCCCATCTCTTTGCCCTTCCTAGTGGCACCTTTAAGGCCAAGTTTTATTCAGGTACAATCTCTCCCTCCTCTGTGAGGACAGATCTGCATGTCCCCCCCCCCATAGCTAGCAATTCAAAAAGTCCAGTGTCACCTTTAAGACCAAGTTTTATTCAGGTACAAGCTCTTCCTCCTCTGTGCTGAAGTGTGTCCCAGTGTTTTTGGTTTACATAAGTGCCTTCTCATTCTCTCCCCCCTCCCCATTGCTTAAGCATCATGTTGAGGACTCTGATGCATCTTTAGTCTTCTGGGTTGTCCGTTGCTTGTGAATGTCACTGCTGGGGTGACCACAGGATCTCTGAGTATTTATGAGGGAAATACTTTTCAAAACAGTGTATCTTTGCTTGCTGCTTAGTTCATGTAATTAGGCTTTGAAGGACTGTTTTGGAAATGATCTACTTAAAGGCTCTGATGTGGTGGAGAGGGTGTCCTGTTTCTTATACTACTAAAGGTTTTGAGTTACAATTTGGTGTGGTGGCTAGGAGCATGGCCTCTAATCTGGGAGAACCGGGTTTGATTCCCCATTCCTCTACTTGCAGCTGGTGGTGTGACTTTGGGTCAATCACAAGTTCTTTCAGAGCAACCCAGAGAGAACACTGGCCTCATATGCTAATGAGCTGTGCTGTCAGGGGTGTGGCACTGTTGGGTGTGGCCTATTATGCTAATGAGTTCCTGCTGGGCTTTTTCTACAAAAAGAGCCCCTTGTACATGTATGTGTGTGCACCTGGAAGTGATGGCGACCTCTGGTGACTGACCCTTACTGGGGGGCCTGGAGGATATTCAGAGAGGTGGGTGGATAAAGCCTGCCCCCCCTCCGATATTTCAAGCAGGTCTCCCATCCAGGTACGTGCCAGAGTCAACCCTGCTTAGCTTCCGAGATTTAATGGGATCAGGCTTGCCTGGCTTACTCAGGTTGGGGCAGTGTTAACATTGTTAACTGCATGTCACTGTATGAGTAAAGAATAAAAGCAGCTTTAATTCTCATCGTACTAAATGAAAGTGCAGGAAGAGTCAGTTGAGAGATTCTGAAACCCCTTTTTATTTTAAAAACACATTCCAATCCTGATTTGGTTCATCTAACTAAGTCCTATGGTGATATGCTTTCAAAAATACTACCAATGTGAATTCTTAACATCACTTTAAAAAAAGCACTGAAAGGTCGGAAAACTGATTCTTGCTCTAACTAAATCAAAATAGAAATCACAGTTTCAGGATATTAGAAATAAATATGAAAAGTATCCAAAGCCACCTAGACCTCACCTGCAGCTCAAGAGGGAAATAGTAAGAAACACCTTAACATTTCACATTAGGAAATGCTACACAAGAAACCAATTAGAAAGTGAAAAGAGCAAAACTAGGAAGAGTATCTAGAATATTTTACTTTTGTCAAACCTCAGCTGCACAGCTTAAAAACATGGTTTTGAAAGGCAGAAATGAGTGGTTTGTTCACCCCAAAAGAAATCTATCCAAAAGAATATGCTAAGGATAATTTTTGTTTGCTCACTGGTCTGTGGTATTCAGCGATTATGTTATAAAATACAAACGTCATGGAAATAACCAGCACTTTTCCCTTAGTTATGCTGATTCCTGGTCAAGCAAGCATGCTCTTTGGTTACTGCAAAGTTTCTACTCCATACAAATGCTGGAAAGTTAGCTTAGCCAGTCATAACCGTAACTTGACACTGTCTGGATTTGTGCCACTGAGAGTGGACTCTTATGTTACCTAGGAGCTGTGAGGCACCAAACCTTCCTGTACCACTGGGGAGTAACAAGGGAAGAAGCCATGGACCACACTGGAGAGATTTATGATTCAGCTGTTCCCTGGGCTAATGTTAACCCTTACAAATGGGTTAATAGCAACCTGGGAACGAGGGGAGAAAAAATGCAGTGTGGACTCCTCCCACATGTTCCAAAGGTGTCTCATGTTACACATCAGCTGGGGAAGGAACAATATTCCCATGGCTCCCATACCACTACGAGAATTTAAGAACACGGTCTATATCAACCAAGATTCAAAGAATTGATTCTATAATTCTACTTTGGAATCTCCATGATAAAAAATAATCCAAGACACCCTCCGATTCTAAGTATATTCTTGTGTATACAGAGTTTCATATATGCCTCAATGTGGGTTATATGCACACACAATTTTAAGTTGATGAATTTTCCACGGAGGATGCTGTTATAGTTCAAAAGTATTCATAATGTTTTTTTTAACAGTTTTGGTAAAGTATCATAAAAAAGTAGTAGTTCTGGATTTTCTTCATCCCTTTTCCAAAGACTGAAAGAATATACAGTACATATACAGGTTGACAATTTGATTAACCTAAAGCAGTCTTCACTTTACTTAGTTCCTATAGTTGTTTAGACTAGAAGGATAATACCAATCACAACAGAATTTTTCATAAGTGAAACAAAACAGAGAACCAAGAACTATGATCAGAAGCGCAGTGGTTTAGAACACCTATATATACACATACACACACATTCATAACCTTCTGTGAAAATCGACCTATGTTCTATTCAGAAGCAACAAAAAAAAAAAGTTGTAAAAATGCTGCCAATTTAACAAAATGGGGGAGAAATGGCTGCTATCAAAATATACAATTTGAATTGCAGGCTAGAAGGCTTACATTATTAAAAAATAAGTTTTAAGCAAAACCCTTTGCTTGTAATGATGACGGGCTGTCAGCCTGTCATTGCAATACAGCGGTCCAACAAGGTCTTATAAAAGATTCAGCGATGGCTCCCTTCTTTATCTGTAAACTGTTCTTGACAAATATGGACAGGGAGAACTCTCTTCTGTAGACCAGAGTAGCTTCCAGATTCCTGAATCCAAGGTTTGAGAAAACAAAATGGCAGTTCCAAACTCAGAATCTCAGGTGTGATTTGTGCTTTACCATGTACCTGCAATATTAAAAAAAAATGACTATAGTTACCAACATGTAAGAACTCTGCTCAGGAATGTGGCATGATCAAGAAACTTTTGCTAGTATTTTCTCTTTCTCTATACAATGGGATATTTCACCATAGCCTCACGACAACAGTAGGATTAACTTGCTAATATATCCCTCCATTAACTACTTTCTGTTGTAAGTTTTCACTATGGAGTAACACTCTGAAATGACAGGCTTACCGATGGGTACAGTCTGCATTAAATGAAAATATGAATACTGCACTTTTGAAACATTTGTTTGCACACGCGAGCCTGATAGCGGCATCAGGCAGGGTGGGGTGTGTGTGTCAAACCTTCCGATTTGCTAAAATGGATTTATATTGTGTATATTATGTAATAATATTTGTATTATGTAGGGGGTCATGTAGTTACAGAATCCAATTAGAGTAAATGCCCATTCATACACCACAGGTCTGCGTTCACAAGCCAGTGGATCTATGGCCAGGCTTCTACAGCCATTCTGTGTGAGTTAAGTGACAGCCCGGGGAGCAGAACACTACATGCATTCTTACATATAGTTTGTAAAGATGGACAATTGCACCAGCAAGTGGGGAACAAACTGCCCTAAATGGCAGAAGGCTTTTTAATCCTGAGCAGCTAGTAGGCAAATTTGACAAGTTATTTTCTGAGTTTTTAAGCTGAGCAATCTCCTTGCAACCTTTATATAAAACGAAAAGTGTAACTTTTTTACTCCAGCTTGATATTTACCTGTCCAATGTCTCCCAGAAACGTAGAAACACTGGTCTGTCCAAGTGCCGTTTGTGGTAACTGAGCTCTAACACTGTTACATCCCATTTCTGGACATTTGGATCTAGACGGACTTCATCGTATTTAAGGTGGAAAGCTTTAACTGCAAGAAAATAAAAAGGAAAATGGTAGTTTACTTGTTATGGTACCCACGACCCATTCTGTAGGATTACGGTTAAGACATACAAGACAAGATATTGAGCCAGCTCACACATGGTGACTCATGTGCGACTCCTTCCTGAGCAAGCAGCAACATCAGTGGCCACTGAACCAGGACAGAGTGGTGTCTCCATTTGTATGAGCTGGCACTTCACTATTCCTATGATGGTGGAAGCACTCAAGCTTCTATTACAGTGAGGACAGGAGTAGTGTTTTATACACCATCCATATGGAAAGATAAATGGAGCCTTTATACAAGACCATCTGTGAGCCTGCTCGTGGTTCTATATATTCCCAAGGCTCCAGAGCTACTGTGGGGTGCTGATGAGAGCTTTGGGGCTAAAGTGATGCAGGTTCAAATTACCAGCCTACAAGACAGTTTACTGTGCGACCTTGCACTGATGATGATCTTGCAGGATACTGTGTCTTAAAGCTGCTGAATATGTGTGTATATGCATGTAGGAAATCATATACATCAGTCTAGAGGAAGGGTGATATAAAAGTCAATACATAGAGAAATATTTTATTGTATGGATGCTGCCTCCTGGTGGACTGTTCATAGTTCTAATCCCTGTATCTGGGGTTTAGGGGAAAGCAGTATGGTTTCTCTCCTTGCCCTGATATTACTGGAGACCATGGAGTTACCATTTACCTGTAGTGGTAATATCTGTATATAGAAAATCACATGAGCTGAATCAATAATACAATTACTGCTCAAGGCCAGTGTCATTCAACATCAGGTGATTTCCTGTATGAAGTCATTTTTGGAGCGGTAAGAGGTGGTGGCTGTTGTTGTCCAATCCTGTATTAGAATGGACTCGAAGCTGCTCAGCATCTTGGGGTGGAGAAGACAGGGAGGGAAATACATTCTCCAGCCCTCAAAATGGGGGGGGGGGTTTAAAATATATTTGGGAGGTTTATTTGGGGGGGGATATTTCAGTCACCTTCCCAATACTCCTGAATGCCAATTAGGAAATATTTGAGCAAGGTTTAATTTATCTTCTGTGTGCCTATTTTACATAGACTTACTTTGGTTAACAGGATTAGCTCTGCAGGGTCAAATAATTTGAAGAAATGAACGCAACCAAACCAAACCATAGCACTGCTGTATTCAGTGGTCCTTCAGAAAGATTTATAGCAACATGAATGTAACCTGGATCAGAAGGCAGTGTAATTGAGTTATGTCGCTACAGAGAATCATGTAAAGTTTTCACAGACCTCACAGTCTTGACTGATGTTGCTGGACATCTATTTAAAAGGTGTTACAATAAACACATCCCTGTTCAGATGTGACATCAGGATAACCTTAGATAGTTTCCCTAATCTCAAATAAGAAAAATATTGGCCTGGTTCACATAAATGTTTGTTTGCTGCAGCAGCTACCGAAAGCTTCTGTTCCACAATGTAATGTGGGAAGGGTGCTCAAACAAATCTCATCTATGCGTCTCTCCTCTCCGGTATTGGAACAGTGCTCATATAGGATACCGCGATGTGTATTAGGCAATCTGGATGAGGACAGATGCAGGTACCAACCATGTGGAAGAGGCTTTTCAGTGGCAGTCCTGCAACAGTAGGTAACCTATGAACTAGAACTTAGGATCAGCATCACAAATCCTCACCTAACCATGTCTTCAGTTTACATACAGCTGAAATGGAACAATTAAACACATGGAAAAGGGAACTGGTATACCAGTTTCCCTAATGGTGGAATTTCTTCCAATCAAAAAATATTTTTTGCATCAACATTATGCTGTATTAAGTACATCAACCTTGTGTTAAGTGCATTATCTAAGTATCAGGGACATTTCCAGCATTTAAGATAAAATACTAATCTCAGAACACGTTGAAGCAACTTTTCCTTTTAAAGGAAGCTTATGAAGTATATCAAGGATATATGCATTTACAAAGAAATCTATGAATGTCAAACAGACCCTTTGAGTTAGAAGCAAAAAGTATTGAACAAGAATCAATCCACTAAAAGTGACCTTCAAGTTCAATAGACTTGCATTAACATGCAATTGCAAGTAGACCTTTAAAATGGCATTCAGATAAAATATTCATGTTGGTTAAAATGCCAAAACACAGAAAAACTTTCCATTCAAATGCCCACTTCCTTGCAGACATCCCTGAAATGAAGGGATAAAAGAGATTATTCTCCACAGAAGCAATTGGTGCAGTGTCCAAAAAAGAAATAAATAATTTTGCAAGAGGTTGAGTGCTGTAGATTGGAAAAAAAAACACAGGATAAAAACACAGGATAAAGACAGTACTATTTTAAGGTTTGTTTGAGTGACACTTTAAAGGATTTTAGCCAGGATAAAGTGATATTGTGAGATAGTCTGATGTGCTCTAGATGCAGTCTAATCTGGGATTTGCATGTTACATTTAGACATTTTCTTAGATTTCACTGCAATCAGCTTTCAACTATTTGTTAAAAAAAAACATTCCATCTACAGTAAGGAACTTTAAATCTTTGTTAATCTCCACTGTGGAAAAGTGGTGGGGTTAACTTTGAACTTCTGTGGCATGTTTGGAGGTCAAGAGGACCTGTAAGGACATTTCTTAATCACATTATATATAAGTTTCTTGTGGCACATTTAAAAGAACCTGGAGAGGAAGAGCTCCTGCAGATCACTCAGAGAAAAAACACGTCAGAGAGAAAACATGTCAGAGAATTAGTGCAAAGGTAAAAGCTTACTTTTTGCAAAAATATCAACAGGTGATCCATCAGGTAGCAACCATGGCCAGCCCTTGAACTGCCAAGCAGGACCCTGCACAAACACAGCTACCACACGGTCCCTAAGTAGAGAGGAGAAAAGCGCTGAACACTCAACATGCTTCTGAATGGGAAGCCATCATCAGCAACAAAGCATCCTCCCTTACCAATCCTGAGCCATAAGTTTCAGAGGTTGATCAACCACACGGTATGGTACAGTAACACTGACGGTAGTTCCACCAGGCTGCATCTGGTCTTTCCTTCTTTGTATTAAAGTTTCATTCTCTCGCTGACAGCCTTGCTTTTTCTTTTCATCGGATGGCACAAACCTTAAAGATGCAAATAAGAGAATCTTGAGAGGACAAAATGGAATAGCCTTTGAAAATATATGGTCCAAATTTTATAAATGGATTGAAGAAAATAATATATGATTCTTACAGACATATAACTGAAACTAGAAGGACAATGAATTACAAGCTTTATTATATGCAGAGAACTTTATATTATAAACTATAAGGTATGAAAAGGGTGTGAAAAAGTAAAAATAATAACTGATTAATGTATGAGGTTAAAAATTAGATACAATATGGATGTAAACTAATCCCCGATTATGTTTGTTTGTCTGTTACAAAATAAAAAAGTTTTTATATATTAAGAAAAGAGAATGAATAGGTTGATACTAACTTATTTGGTTAAGACAAGGTAAACACAGCTATTTCATGATCTAACAATTAGTCAAAAACTAGACTGGCATCATACTGAGGCATTGGAAAACAACACTTCAGGCTAGCTTGAAACATTTCACAGTAATCCTTGAAAATAATTTAGACCATCTAAAACAGCACTGTTCAGAGCAGATATTTTTCTTACTGCTATAACACAGTCACTCCTGCCGCACACCCAGCCCGACCTCCGCTTTCGCCCTGGACGCCAGGGCCTCGCCTTACCGCTGCCTTGCCCTTCCTCCTGTGCGCGGGGAGTCCTGCCGAGGAGCCGGGGTCCAGGGCAACGCTGGCAGTGGCGAGAGACTGGCGGGGTTGGCCGGCTGGCACGGCACTTAAGTAGGCTGCCGAGAGGAGAGGCGCCTCTAGAGGGCGGCTCCTCCCTCCGGCCCCGGAGAAAGCACCGCCGCCGCCCGCTAGCCAGCCAGCCAGCCAGCCGCGTGCGGCACACTCGCCTGCTCGCCCAGCCCTGCTGGGACAGCGTCGTCGTGTGCGGGCCGGCCAGGGACGAACCAGCTGGCCCGGTGGAGTTGCACCCGGGGCTGAGCCGGGCTTTGGCAGAGAGCGTCTCTGTCCTGTTTTCCTCCTCTAAAAACTAGGTGCGTCTTATGGTCAGGTGCGTCTTACAGAGTGAAAAATGGTATATGATTTTCATTATTTTGAACATATCTGACCCTGTGATAACTAAACAGGATTTATGGGCTGGTCCATCCAGTTTGTAGGAAATGTGTTCCAAAACGTTCTGATTTTAGGCAAATGTGGCAGTCTGATCCATTAACAGAGATATTATGGGGGGAAATCTTGCTGGAAACTAACTAATAGAATGGTTTTAAGATATTAAATATTTCTTTAAGCCTTCTAGGGATCTCCTGTTGGCAACTAAAATGCTTACTGCAAACAAGCAAAGTGCTAAAAACTTGAATATCAAATCATCGATGTAACAAACTTGACAATATTCTGTCATACACAGAGCACTGTATGGCGTTTGCTCATTTCTCATTGATGTTATACAGCACACATTGGTCCCAAATACACCGAGTATTAAAGTTTTACTGGTATTTTATTTTTCTTAAAAGTTAGAATGAAAGGGAAAAACACAAGCAAATAATAACAAGCATTATACAGATACCAAACAGAAGCTATACAAGGCCTACGACTCTACTCTGCCAATCAGTATCCGAGACAATATACAATACAAACAAAAGCGAGTGTTAGAAATAAATACAGTTTATTAAATGTCTGCCTTCGAGGATGGAACAGGTTACTGACCCACTCAGGCATGCCATCACTTGGCTGCATCTCTATTGCAAACTGCTATAGGGGGTGGATGACCGGCAATGGAGAGTCTTCTTCTGCTTGCAGTGGAACTTTATTGCTCCTCTTTATACTCTCCCCCATTCCCATTGCCTCCTGTACTTGGGGTTCCAGATTCCTGCTCATGGTGGAAACCAGTCTGTAACCCCAAGCAGAGGAGAGGGAAAAGCTCTAAGGATGCCAACCATATTACAATTTTGCCCCAGTGAATATATGCAAAAAGATTAGTTTAAGATGGTATTTGTAACCTGTTGTAAATAGCCCAGAACCCTGCACACTCGGGGATTGGGTGATCCGGAAATTCAAAATATAAATAAATAAATAGGTCTGGGTCCAGCCAGCTTTCTCATTCAATTCCCTTTCTTACACCAGCCATCGTCCCACATGGCTTTTGTCCATGCCATGATTCCAAACAGCCTTTTTGATATACAAACAAGAATCCTTCCGCCCACTTCACCAGTGGAAAAGCTGCCTGGATCAAACCCATAATGTGGGGGAAAATTTCATTGCTGCATCTACTCTAAATAGATGTGTCTACTGTAAACAGTACTCTGGCATACCTCTGCTTCTACAGACCTCATATGCTACAATTTTAAGATACAATACTAGACCAGGGAATGTACCAACAGGCAATCAGCAGAACCACATGGTCTACTATCTCAAAAGCAGTATAAGAGCTGGAAATGCAGAGAAAACAGCAACCAAGATGATTAAGAAATGTGGAATGCTTTCCTTTCATGGAAATAAACTATTTGGAGGAGAGGGAGATAACAGTATTAGGACATTATGAATGGCACAGAGGAAAGCAATTGAGAATTTTTCTCCTCCCTGGCACAGAATACTAAAACTGTTACCCAGTGAGATTGATTAGCAGTAGATGCAGGACAAGCTGGATATAGTACCTCCCCATACAACGCAACTCTCTTATGCAACAAGGAGTGGTTTAAACATGTAACATCCATGGAGAACATGACTACTAAGAGCTAAATGGAAGCTCTGTGTAGCATGCCTTAGATTACCAGTTGCTGAAAGTTAAACAATGAAGGAAGCCTACTGCCCTTCACACCTTGCAAATGAGCTTTTTAGAATCATCTGGCTGGTCAACTGGATGCCAGGCCAGATGGATCTGGGGCTGTTTTTTTTACCACTCTCACTGAAGTAATTTTGCACTGAATATCTCCTGCATGCGAGTCTGCATCTGAAGTCTGTGGTGGATAAGTACATGCAGGAGAGACACTTCCCCCAAATTTAAAATTGAAAAATGAGAAGTAGCTTAGTCTACTCAGTAGGAGGACCCTTTGAATGCAGCAAGACTGCTAAATCACTGAAACAGTATGGGCTATGGAGGCATTTCACAAAAAGGTATTATGAATCCATTGTGAATGTTCAATCGGCCCTTTTTCACTGCCCCTCCCTGCATATCCACAAAACTATGGATACAGTGTTCTGGAATGTTACCACTGCATCAATCATTCTCCACATCTGAAGAAACAGCCTTTTATGAAGTGTATTTCAGTCACCTACTTACTTCAGATCCTGCAGAAGATCTTTCGCATTAAGCATAGTTATTAAAGAGGTGGTAGCTGCTGGAATAATGATTATGGGCGTTCGAGATCCTGTAGAGAGACAGAGGTTTTTGTTTTTTTAAAAAACCCCCCACAAGTAACAGATGCAATTTTAACAAAACACAATAATCATTATCATTATTTCCTTGTAAAAGAATGTAGAAATGTAAATCCTCTGTTTGGATTCACAACATAAAACATTAAATTTAGAAATATGAATTTACTAACAACTCACCTTTTTTCTGGTTTGGAGGAGGCCTTGCTTGGGAGACTGAAAAACAAACAAACACCACAATCTATTTCCATCTGGTATAAAATAATGGACAAGAAATAAACCACAAAATTTTTGGTACTAGTTTTCTCCTGATCAAAATAACTAGGTGGCTTTAGTCAAGCCACTCATTTTCGGCCTCACTTCTACCCCAATCTGCCATAAGCGAGTAATAACTTCCAGTGAGTAAGGCGATTCATGCAAGGCTGCTTTGAAAGCTCATTTCTTCTCTATTTTCCTTACACAGCCAATGTATTGATCAGAGGCTGAACAGAGTATACGGAGAAAAGCACCTGGGTAATGAGAGCTCTTAATCAGTCCAGCGCTAAGTGCCTCTGACATGGTTCCTATTGTTGCTCCCGCTCTCACCTTGCAGCTCTCCCGCCACTGCAAAGGCAGTCCTCTGGTGCTTCCAGTTCACTGAAAGTCACTTGGTCCTGCTTGAGCAACAGGACCGTGCTCTGCAGCAGAGGACCCCCTAAACAGTAGGTGAAGAGCTGGGCAAGCAAAAGCAGGGCACAGGATCCAAGTCCCATGGAGAAACTAGATGAAACTCTTCCCTCTTGTTCTGCTTGCTATAGCTTCATTCATTTATTTAGTTTGATTTGTACCTCGCCCTCCTCGCTGCAGCAGGCTCAGGGTGGCTTACATAAATTGCAACAAGTAAATAACAGATAAAAACATCAATATAAATATCCCCATAAAACACAGCATAATTACTAAAACCATATAATGATGGCGGTGCACAGTAGCAGTAAACATATAGATTACAGTCAGCAAATGATTTTTTTCTGCTGTCAGGCTCAGGCTGGATGGTGGTATTGGGCACAGGGTCTTAGAATATTAGGTGCGGTTCCTTACCCAAAGTCTTGGTAGAAGAGCTCCATTTTACAGGCCCTGCGGAACTGTAAGAGGTCCCGTAGGGCCCTGATTCTCTTCTGAGAGCTCATTCCAACAGGTTGGAGCCACCACTGAAAAGGCTCTGGCCCTAGTTGATGTCAGCCTGGTGTCCTTGGGGCCAGGGAGGGCCAAGCGATTTTGAGACCCTGATCGTAGTGCTCTCTGGGGAACATGTGGGGAAAGACGCTCCCACAGGTAGGTAGGTCCCTGACCATAAAGGGCTTTAAAGGTAAGCACCAGCACCTTGAAGCGAATTCGGTAGTCAGTGCAGTGCTTTTAGAGGAGGCTGGATGTGCTCCCGCATGGGGAGGCCCAGCAACAGCCTGGCTGCCGCATTTTGCACCAAGAACCTCTTTCCACTTTTCTTGTATGAGCAGCGGCCTGCTGATGGAAGAGGAAGAAAAGACCAATTTTGCCCTTTCCTCCTCCTGATTTACATAGCTGTTACTCCACATGTGTCCTACAACCCCTGGAAAAAAACTTTCCCAGTGTCAGAAATGGCTGTTGGGAGGAGGGGAATGGTGGGGAAATCAGGGATCCTTGCATGGACTTCACACACTCCTTGCACTGTATTCAACCCTCTGTAGCAAAGAAAATATGTTTTGCGTATACTTTATTCTAATGTGACCATTTCTGAATTGGCTTGGATCCAAATGGAATGGAGTTAATGGAAGGGATATTTGCTGATTCTCACCTCCTTTCCCCCTGCTCAGCCCCCCCCCCCCACTTCTTCTGAAGGTTGGAGTACTGTTGAAAATAACAAAGAATCTAGATGGGTTGCTTAATTCGAAGGGGACAGTCCACACCATTATCATGTTCTTATACAAACCAAAAACCTTGTACAAGAGCAGGGGAGATTTCTACTGATTTCCTCCCTTCCCAATACACCTTCCCCCAGGCTACAGTATTCCTATGGTCTCTCAGCTTGGAGACTCCCATTTGTGATAAATTTAGATTCTTTATTTTCCTTGCTGCACTGCTTGAACAGTCTTTTGCATTGTAGAAACTTGTGACATTTGAGTAATGGATGTAAATTTCTTTATGGGGGGTTTAATTGAGTTCTCATTGTCATGGTCTGTAGGGCAAAAAAACATAATTCACAGTCTGCATAAAGGGTTTTAACGACTAATCCCAAGCATGTTTTCTCAAAAGTGAATCCCACTAAAATGGGATCTACAACCTGGTAAATGTGCTCAGCATGTAGCCACAGGCTTAGCTATGAATATTATGCCACTGTCCACTGGAAGCACTGAAGAATATTGTCCTGTTACTGGAATGTGGTAACTCATAATAAATTCCTCTACAAAATATTGACATTGCTTCAGCAGAGACTTATTCACATCCTCAGGAATATCGAAAGGTTATATATTCAGAATTCTTAACCAAAACAAGCTGCTCTTGTGTATATGTAGGAAGTCCCAGAGTATATGCTGTATGCTCCTAACTCAGACTCAGTTAGGACAATGCAGACTGAAGTAAATTCTGAACTTGAGCTTTATCTCCGTGATATATCTATAAACAAATAAAGCAAGACATCTTAGTTGGTGTGAACTGCTTCTGGCTAGGAGAGACAATTTAACATCTATATCCACCCCCTTGCCCAGATTGCCTTGAGGCATGGGCTAGGCTGTCACCAGTATGCTGATGACATCCAGCTCTATCTGTTGTTGGGCGGCCGCTGACTCTAGTCCGGAAGACTCTAGTCCGGAAGGTGTTGCAGGCCGTGGCTGGCTGGCTTAGACTGAGCTGACTGAAATTGAATCCAACGAAGATGGAGGTCCTGTGCCTGAGTCGGGGTGGCCCTGGGTTAGGGATCCTTTCGGAATGGTCTGGCTGAGATGTCAGGAAGGATCCCACACTTCTATCGTTTCGCAACACATGGAAAACAAATATTCAGGAGGACAGGCATTTTTATCAAGAAAACAGAGCTGTTGTTTAATGGAATGGTTCAGGGGAGCGCTCTTATTGCAGCCTATTTATTGTATGTATAACCTTGGTTTTGCTGCCTCGTCTTCTACTTTTGTAATCCATTTGCCACATTGTTTACAGTATGTCATATGTTAATGTGTACTTTTTCTCTGCATCATCTTCTGATTTTGTGGTCCTAGACCGACCACATTGCTCACTGGATAACTTACACTGTCTGATTTCATTTTTAAAAATATTTTATGATCTGCCTTGAGAAAGGTGGGCTGTAAATAAATTATGTCTTTGTACCTCCAGAAGGGAAGGACAACCGCGATACAGGCTAGCCTTTTCCCACAGAAGGCCTGTACAGGCCTTTCAGTTAATGTGTGTGAAATCACATCTGGCAGTATGACCCATATGCAACGGTTTATCCAGATGTATTTCTGCTCTTGCTATTTCTACTCTTTTCATATCATTGCCTGTCAGTTCCAAACACATTCTTATTCTCAACAGCCCTAGTGAGATAAATATGACAGGCAGTATGACCTTTCTAAGCACAGGCACACAACTGCAAAGATAACAAAAGCAGAAAAGAATCCCAATACCATGCCACTCTAACATTTAACATTCAATCTTTAGTGATCTCTTTTAGATAGATTTTTTCTGCCTATGTAAGATTTATTTTACACTTGCTAAACTGATGGGACAAAATTATTTAGCAAGGCTCATGGGACATGGAAACAATGACTTTCCATTGTAACTATGAAAAGATACTCCTGTTAATAGTGTAATTTAGAACGTCTGAAGAGTATATACTTTCAGGGGGGTTGGTGTGGAAGAAAGATCAGGAGCTGACACATGAGTCACAGAAATCAGCTTAATACACATCCAGACCCTTCTCTCCCTTCCTTCACAGAACTACAGTCCCAAAGATTCCCGGAAAGAAGAAAAAACAGGTTGCTACCTGTAACTAATGACCTTTGAGTGGTCATCTGTGCAGTACCACACATGGGTTGGGCACCTGCGCATGACCTCGATCGGACAGTGTTCCAGAGCTTGCCTCAGAAGACTTTTTGGCAGGCTCTCTTCCCGCCCTGGGGAGCAGGCACGCAGTGCGTATGCCTGGAGTGGGGGAGAGAGCTGCTTCCCACTCAGTTCCTTCGACCGCTACCAGTAAGTCCCATCAACTAAGGTAAGTGATCAGGAGATGCCAGCAGTGGGGAAGGCTGGGTGGGACTGTGGTACTGCACAGATGATCACTCGAAGATCATCAGTTACAGGTAAGCAACCTGTTTATCTTCGCCGTGGTCTCTGTTAACGAGCTGAACCAGTTGGAGGAGGGAGCTGGCAGCTGCAAGAAAGAACAAACAGAGGACATAGTATTATCATTTCAATTGATAGGTCCTACCTGAAGAAGCCAAAGACTCATGGGAAAAGAGATTGCAGCACTGCCTGGCCAAAAGCAGCATCCTGTTGAGCACAAACATCTAGCGCATAATGGGAGACGAAGGTCGAAGCTGAGGACCATGTGGCAGCAGCACAGACATCTTCCAACAGAACACGAGCCAGAAAGGCAGTCGAAGTCGACACCGCTCTCGTTGAGTGAACGTTAATGCAGGTAGGTATGGGTTGACGTGCTAGCTCATAGCAGAGGGCTATGGTCGAGATCACCCATTTTGATAGCCTTTCCAATGATATTGCCTCACCCCTACATGGGGATGTGTATGCAACAAAAATCCTTTAAAACTTTCTAAAGGGTTGTGTGTGATGAAGATAAAAGGAGAGAGCTCTCTGGACGTCAAGGCTGTGTAAAGCCCTTTGAGGTGCGTCAGCAGGGTTCGGAAAGAAAGTAGGCAGGACGGAAGACTAAGAGAGATGAAAGGCAGAGACTACCTTGTGTATGGAGGATCTGCGTGGAGGTCGGCAAGTTCCCCCACCTGGCGAGCTGTCGTAATAGCAACCAGAAACGCCGTTTTCCACGAGAGGAGAGAAGATCTACCAAAGTCACGGGCTTGAACGGTTTAGCCATCAATTGGGTCAAGACCAGAGACAGACTCCAGAATGGTACTAGTGGCTTCTGAGGTGGACAAAGGTGAAGGAGACCTCTGAGAAAGGATTTCGTGAGGCAGTGGGAGAACACTGTAGTCCCTTGTATCAAAGCGTGATTTGCTGAGATAGCAGCAAGGTGTACT